GACACTTGACTTAAATCAATTCTGATATACATTAAGTATGTATACAGCAATAAGAACATCAAACTGCTGATACACACAGCAACACGGATCAAAGGGCTGGGAAACATGGATGGTCTACCTCGGCAGATCTGAGTTTTTAGTTCTGTTTTGCCTCTGTGGGCCCCAGCCCTAGAAGACTACAGAGAAAGTCACCATGGCACCACTGTTGACCTGGCAGCAGCTCAACATAATTGCAAGCAAAGAACATAAGAAGTGAGATCACTGGGGCCGGCCCGGTGGCGCAGCGGTTAAGTTCACACATTCTGCTTCTCCACGGCCCAGAGCTCTCCGGTTCAGATCCCGGGTGCAGACATGGCACCACTTGGCACACCATGCTGGGGTAGGTGTCCCACACATAAAGTAGAGGAAGATGGGCACGGTTGTTAGCTCAGGGCCAGGCTTCCTCAGCAAAAAAGAGGAGGACTGGCAGTAGTTAGCTCAGGACTAATCTTCCTCAAAAAGAAAAGAACTGAGATCACAACAGACATATTGAGCAAAGAAGCCAGATACAAAAAAGTACACACTGTATGACTCTTTTCAAATGAAATTCATGTGCAGATAAACTAATCAATGGTTACAGAAATCAGAAGTGTGGTTATATTTCGGAGGGTTTTGACCGGGAAGGGGCACAAAAGAGCCTTCTAGAGTGCTGGAGACGTTCTTCATCTTCATTTCTTGGGTGGTTACTTGGGTTTATACACATGTAAAATTCATCCAGGTATGCACTTAAGATTGCACACTTTGTTGTACGTATGTTATGCTCCAGTGGTGGGCGGGGGGCTGCCACAAAAGTCTGCAAGAATGTCCTGCCACATTGTCCTGAAACCCAAAATACCACACCTGAAGTTGTGCAAATGATTCAAATTCCTTTTGACCAAAAGTATAGAGATTGGGAGCAAAAAAGTATTTAGACCTAGCCTGGAAGGAAATCAAACAAGAATAACAGGTAGGACAGTGCGGAAAGTGTTTCACTGTAATTTTCTTAATAGTGCTCTAACATTTTTGACAGTTTTACTCACACATTCTTAGAAGAGTGGACTATGTGGACTCTACAGTCTTTGCATCTCTGCTATTCTGTATTTCTTAACTTTACTTCTTAAGTTCTTTGCTCGCAATTATATTGAGCTGCTGCCAGGTCAACTGTGGTGCCGTGGTGACATTCTCTGCAGTGTTCCAGGGCTGGGGCCCACAGAGGCAAAACAGAACTAAAAACTCAGATCCACTGAGGTAGACCACCCATGTTTCCCAGCCCTTTGAACATCCTTCCCATGTATGGAGAATTTCCCTGTTATGGGTCCCTCCTCCCCAAGGTGCAAGCCAGAAAACTCACTTTCCCACTTTCTCTTGGAGCTGGAGTGCGGGCACGTGAGCTAGGCTCCACCAATCAGACGTGAAATAAACATGACTTTAATTCTAAGTAGAGAAAAGTGGAGAAGCAGGCACCATGCAGAATGAATCCATTTTCTGGCAAAGGTGGCTGTGGAAGCAGCCAGCTTTCAGGGGCAGCAGTAGTGGGGTTTGGGCAGCAGAGGTGTAATCTGAGATGCCTGTGTCCAGTCTCAGTAGCAGAGGCGTCTTCACGGCGGTGGCAGCAGCCACTGTGCCTGGGCGTGAAGCCCCCAAGCCTAATTCCCTGGTTCTGCCAATGTTTCCATGAGCTACGCAATATCCTAAAATAGATTCCTTCCTGCTTAAATGGGCTAGAGGGAGTTCTGTTGTTTGCACTAAGAGCCCTGAATGAATTATCCACTGTATCATCTCACGTTCTCCAGCGAAACAGGACCAATAGGATACATGTATCTGTACATAGGTACGCACATAGGAGATATATGTATACATACATATATATATAGCTTTATTTTTAGGAACTGGCTCACACTATCGACAGGGTTGGCAAGTCTGAAATCCATAGGGCTGGTAGGCTGGAAACTCAGGCAGGAGTTGATGCTGTGGTCTTGAAGCAGAATTTCTTCTTCTCTGAGAAAACTGTTTTTACTCTTAAGGCCTCTAAGTGATTAGATAGGACCACCCACGTTATCAACAGTAATCTCTTTTTCTTCAAGCCAACTGATTGTAGACGTTAACAATGTCTGCAAAATACCTTCACAGCCACACCTAGATTAGTGTTGATTAGATAACTGGGTACTGTAGCCCAGCCAAGTTGACACATAAAACTAACCATCACATCTAACTAAATCAAACTTCCTGGAACGAGCATTCACATTGTGAGCATTAAGATCCTTCACTCCGAAGGAGACTTCTTGGTGCATTTGACATAAATTTCCATTTGCAAAAATCTCATGTACAGCTGCTCATACGAAACAAAGTCCACCTAATCCAGGCACCTGCATTCGAGAGGAGACTATCCTTAGAATCCACGCCAGTCTCCCACCCCGAGGGCCCTTCATCTGGCCCCAGCTGCCATCATGTCTCAGCTGGACCATGGCCACAGCCTCCTCATCCTTCTGCCAGTCTCCAGTCCTTCCTGCTCTAGTCTGCTGTCCATCGTACCCAAGGGTACTCTTTCTAAAGCACTAGTCTGAGTGTGTCTCCACTGATTAAAATCCGCTCCAGAGCCACTACAGTGCTTCTGTCACCTCAGGCCAGCAGCCATTAAGGTTCGGTTGCAAGGAACAAATCCAACTTTGACTGATTTACGTGAAAGAGAAATTCATGGAGCAGCCCCCAGGATGGAAGGAAAAGCTAAGGTCTTGAGAAAGTCAGAAATCCAGGCTTCCCTAGTGATCTGAGAAGCGGGAACTAATGAACAGTCTTTTCAGAGCTCAGCTGTGGGGATGGATCAGTCAGTTTTCTCAATCTCCATGCAACTCCCCTCAGGGGCCAATTTAGAAGGAGATGGTATCTGATTGGCTGAGAATGACTCACAGGCCCACCCCTTGGCCACAATAGGGCCCCTGATGAAACACCATGACTGAAATTAACCAGAGAGGGAAAGATTCTCAGGCAAAGTAGGGGGATTAGTGGCAGAGGGGAAATAGATATTAGACAAGCACAGACAAGACACAGCCATGCCAGGCCCACTTCCGGCAACTGAAGGCTCCCTCCACATCAGAACAACTTGGGGAGCAGGGAAGCACTGCATTCTCTGCATTCAGCAGGGTCAGGAGGGAGTGGTGGAAGCAGTCCTCAACCAGCTAAGGAGAAACAAGCACTTTCTGGACCGTAAGACGAGACACCCAGGCCCAGGGACTTTTCAGCCTGGACGCCAATTTCCCCCAGTGTTTCTGGGCCATCATTCTCCCAAGGAACTCTATGCCCACAGAGGGAAGCATGAAGGATCCTTAACAGCCCCATACTTTACCCTCTGACCACTCCTCTCTCTTTGCTAGGTATGAGGGTCTATGTGGCTGGAAAAAAAGGTCTCAAGGCTCAGGAGTCAAGCAGGGGAGGACAGAGCAGAGGAAGTTAGAAGGGACATCACAATTCACCTTGCATTTCTCTGATTCCACTGTTTTCTTATTTATCGTCTGCTCTGTCCCCACTGGAATGTGAGCTCCTTATAGGCAGAAGCCTTGTCTGTCTTGATCACTCACTGCGGTAACCCCAAGCCTGGGACAGTAACTGGTATATAGTAAGGAGTTAGGAAAATAAATATTTGTGACTGAGGGAATAGCATGCACGTACGGTGGAGACTGCACCCCATCTGCTGCCTTTGACTCTGAGCCAGATACACAAAATCAGGCCTGGAACTGAGTCAAATCCGGAAGCAAGAGGAAAGGGCACAGCTCTAGACTCAGCCTGACTTGGGTCCCAATCTGCCTCTGGGGCATGTCACTCGGCCACCCTAAGTCTCAATTTCCTTGGTTTTGAAACGCAAATCATACCACCTACTTCACACTGTTGAGGTGAGAACAAATGAGAATTACATACGTAAAATTGGCACATAGTAAGCGCTCTCGTCCCCAGATGCCCTTCATCTCTGTTGTACACCCTGCAACGGAGGAATTTGTTTTAAACGGTGGGAACTGAATGCTACATCTCCTGAGCCTGGGGAGTCATGTGTTTTAGGAGAGTAGGCTGGAAAAGGCAAGGTCTCACCCACAGGGGCCGTGAAGCATCAGTGGAGGAAGATCCAGACAAGGACAAGCCCCAGGGATCCCAGTGGAAAGTCTCATGCTGCAGTCTCTAGCATATTTGCTTGTGGCTGGGAGAAAGGTCCCCTCAGTGTTGCCACTGCTTCTGGGGATGGGATCAAAAGACATACATAGCAGGCAATTTGCAAAAAGAATTTTATTAGCTTTATGAGAAACAGCTGCCATGAGTCAAGACCTGGATGGGCACAAAGCTCTGGTGGCTTCCAACCAATGGCCTGGTAAAAGCCCACCTGTTCCCTCTAGATCCTTGGAACAAGGTCTAAGTTGCGGTCCCACGAAGAACATCTCACCTCCTTGCCACCTCAGAGCTGGCACAGATTCAGGCAATGCATTTTTGTTAGATTATTAGGTTCTCCTGTTCCATGCATAACTCACTGAACAGGAAAATGAATCAAATCAACATTCTAGACATTCAGATCAGGACCGATCTGGCATACCAGCCACTGTTCTGGATCAGCGACCAGGAATACAACATTCTGAATTTCCAATCAGAAAGTCAACATTATAGAGAGCCTCCCAGAATTCCAAATGCAAAATGAGAACCCCCGAACTTTCTAGATGATTTCCTCAGGAGCTTCACATTTTAGAATGTCTATATTCCAAATCAACCAGAAATTGAACATTCTACCTTGTCAACCAGGAACCCAGTGTTCTGGCATGCCAAATGAGACCCATTCCTAACATTCTGGATGGTTAACCAAGAATTCAGCATTCTAGAATGACAAACAAGGCTACAATATTCCAGATAATGGGTGAGAGATGCGAAGTTTTAAGTGTCAACCCTGATACTCTCAACGCCAAACCAGGAACCCAACATTTAAGACCGTCAACCCTGGCCTCGGCATTCTGGAATGACAAGTGCAAAGTTCTACCCTCCAGAATACTGTGGCCCAGCTGCCTCAGAGCTCTGTGGAAGGCCGCTCCACACCAGGCCCATCATCCTGGGGGCGCTTGGGAACACGGAAGGAAACATAGGGACAAGTGTTGGTGTTGAGGCAGACCAGCTTCTTCAGCGTAGCCGTCTTGACAATGTTGAAGCCCATTTCACCACCAAATGTACTCGGTTTCCAGTACTCCGGAGAACAGATGGGATTGCCTAGGAGGCCCTTGAGGGAGAAGGGAGCTCCAATTTCTATCATACTCTCCCCAAAGATGGAGTTTGGATGGCACTTCTCGAGAAGCAGCCCAGGGTAGAACTCCAAGGCATCGATGTCTCCATACAGCTCCTCCAACTCAGCTGCCATCTCCTTCTCTCCTACAAGGGGGAGAAGCTAGAGTCAGAATCGGGATGCCGTCTATTAGGGTTAATCTGGGGAGGGAATCTTCTAGGTCTACCTTTTTCTGGAGAGAATAAGGGACCTCAGAAGAGCAATCTGAGCACAGAGCACATGCCTAAAATCTAGCCTAGCTGACTGACCCTTCTTCAGGGCTGCATCTAGGAAAGGAATTTGCTACTGAAGAGGGTGTCAAGGCCTGGATCTACCACCAAACAGTGTGTGACCTTGAGCAACTCATCTCACTTTTTCTGTGCCCTAATTACCTGATCATTACAACAACATTACTCATCTGGCTTCCTTCACAGGCAGGTTTCAAGGCCTTATCCTGGTCCAGGCCCCTGCATTCTTCTGGAACTCAGACATGTATGTAGCTTGTTCAAGCTCACACAGAGGTTTAGCAACAATGCTCTTTCTGGCCCTCTAGGCTGTCACGGGAGACAGACATTGAGCTTCCCTACCAGCTTCCTCAAATCCACCTCCACAGGCCACCAGTACACAGTCATGGGTCATGTCTCACCCTGGTCAAAACACTTCAGTGGTTCCCCACTGTCTGTGACAAGGGTTCCCAAACTTGACTGCCCAACAGCTGGGGATCTTGAACAACAACAACAAATACATATATACACAGACACACACATAAATATATATAAATATATATGTATATATGCTTATGTACATATGTACGTGCATATACACATGTGTGTGTGTATATATATATATACATACACACACATGCAGATTCCTGGGCACCACCCAGGCCTACTCAATCAGAATCTCTGGGAGAGACATCCAGGATTTGCTATTTTTAATCAGTTTTCTAAGTGATCCTTAGGTAGCTGGCACATAAATGGGTATTTAGGAACCACTAGACAGAATAAAACCCAAATCTAGAATCCAAGATTCTACACAATTTGGTCCCAACCTCCCATCACTACCCTCTCCAGATAAGCTCCTTGTTCTAGCCACACCAGTGACTGTTTTCCCGAATAGGCTCATTCTGCACAACCTCTGTGCCTTTGTACTTTCTGATTCTCTACCTAGAATGCTCTTCTCTCTTTTCTTCACCTGGAAAATTCCTATTTATCCTTCAAACTCAGCTGAGAAGCCACCTTCTCCCCACAACAGGGGTTATCCAGCACGGTGCTCCCACACCCGTTATAATCCCACAGTCACTGTGCTGGCCACGTGTATGGCCCCATTCTGTTTCCTCGATGTCTTCCTCACTTGATCATGAGTCCCTGGAGAGCAGGAAACAACTGCTCACCAGTGAGCTCCTGGAAAGAGGCGTAGGGCTTCATGCCAAACCTCTTGCGGTACTCATTGAAGGGCTGCAGCCGCAGCTCTCGGGATTCCTTGATGACGTCGACAGCCACGTGCAGGACATGGTGGTCCAGGTTCCTACCTCCACCGATCTGCCAAGAGAGAAACACAGCTGTGGTCTGAGAGCCAGGCCACCTTGTCCTGGAAGTGAACTTCAGGTCAGGAGTCCTTCCTCAGCTAGGACAAAGAGCATGGCTCAGCCTAGCAGCCACCATGCTGGGAACCTGGCCCTAGGTCTGCCACTTCATGCTCTCTCGGGGACCCCCTCTGAGTCTCAGCTTCCTCATCTTTAAAGTGAGGAGTGGGCCAGGAGGACCTTTCTAATGGCTCGCAAGCTTACACTGTTCCCCAACCCTTTGAATTTAGGTGAGAACTCCCAACATCCTATTAAGGAAGGTTCTAGAACTATTAGGTTCAGCAACTAGGACTCTGCAGAGGAGACAGCCAGCATGGCCACAGTCAAGACCTCCAGCAGAGAGAAAGGGCATCCCAGCTCTGGAAATGAAATTTGGAGGGGCAGAAGGGTTTCTGAGCCGGAAAGTGATAGAAACAGAAGGATGGAGGAATATTAGTTTGGGGGACCAAAACTTTATGGCTTTCTTAAGATATTTTTTAAATTATACCTAGAAGAACTGACATGTACCTGTCACTCTCGAAATCACTTCTTATAGAACAGAGACGTTTAATCTTTTAAGGGATCCTGTTACGGAACCTACTTTTACTGCTTTTCATTCCCTGTATCTTAGTTGAGATTCAACAAAATTTACTGAGCATCTAATATTAAAAAGTGAACCTCTAGTAACCAGCCACCATTAGGAAAGAGGAACTTAGAGCTAGAAAGTAGGAACACAGGGTATCAAGTCACCCCATTCAGATCAGATAAAACCCCTCACAAAAGCACAGGTGACTGTGTCTGTTCTTTCTCCTTCCTTCTGCCAAACCTCCTGGGAGGGGAATGGTCATAAGCTAGCAGGGAGGAAGCTAAAATCTTGCCATGAAAACTATAATATATACACAAATTTAGCTTAACTAACCGGGAGTTTAACTCCAAGACCAAAGGGTGGCGTAATATCCTCTGAAGAGAGGGAAAATAGGGTTCAAAGCCCAGGTAACCTGGTGAGATGAAAGAAGACTCCAGAAAAAAAATTCTGATTCATAACAGTTAAGGAGTATTAGTCTAAAGAAAACTTTATTGCTTGGGATGAATTGATAATGTTAATGCTTAAGAAAGAATTCTGTGTGTTTAGAACAAATATAATTGGGTGGGAAAAAGGGAAAAGCATAGGTGGGTGAAATCATACCCCTTGGAGCAAAGCGAGCACAGGCTGGTGCCAATCTCAGCTCAGCCTTTTACAAGCTGTGGGGCTGTTGTGAGTTGACTTGTGTTCCCCAAAGAAGGATGTGGAAGTCCTAATCCCCAGCACCTGTGAACGTGAACTTATTGGGAAATAGAGGTAATTGAGTTAAGATGAGGTCATATCCCATCAGGGTGGGTCCTAATCCAATGACTAGTGTCCTAATCAAAAGAGAAAAAAGAAGACCATGTTGGAGTGATGGTTCTACAAGCCAGGGAACACCAAGGATTGTCAGTAACAGCTAGAAGCTAAGACAAGGCATGGAACAGATTCTCCCCCGGAGCCTTCAGAGAGAGCACCACCCTGCTGAAACCTTGATTTCAGACTTCTATCCTTGAGAAATGTGAAAGAATCAATTTCCTCTGTTTAAAGCCACCCCATTTGTGGCCTTTGTTACAGCAGCCCTAGGCAACTAATACAGGGACTTTGGGCAAGTTACTCAAGCTAAGTCTCAGATTCCTCATATGCAAAAATGGAGAAGATAAGAGGATTCACCAGATATCTTTGTGGGGAAATAAGTGAGATAAAGCATGCAAAGCAGTTACTGTAGTGTTAGTCACATGGTGACCCTAAGATGGCAGCCATGTGTGGTGATTATCAGGGAGAGCCCCATTTTATCACTTCTCACATTCTTTTTAATACCCTAAGAGTCAATACACTTCGGTTGCCCTCCTGCCTTGTAGCATAAACACCAGGGCTTTTCACGCACATCATCATGGTCACTCCTTGAAAATGCTTTGGAAACCATATAGCCCCATCTGAAAGCTATTGTCTCTATTCATGTCTGTGTCCTCACAGAGAAGAGAGGCCATAAACCAGCCAGCAGCTGCCCATTGGTGGCAGCATACACTAATTTCAGTCAAATTACCAGGAGGAAACCTAAATCCATCTGGTGCCACATCTTCATGATAGAGCTTAGGGACAAGGATTAGAGAGAAGTGGGGGACTAGGGAGTCAGAGAGCTGGGAAGAAGGAGATGGGAGCTTCCAAATGGGGGGAAAGGGAGATTCAGGAGGCAGTTGGTCAGGAATTCCAGGGAAAGAGGCTGTACTCATTTGCTAGGGTGGCCATAACAAAGTACCACAGAGCGGAGGGCTTAAACAACAGGAATTTATGTCCTCACAGTTCTGGAGGCTGGAAATCCAAGGTCAAGGTGTCAGCAGGGTTGGTTCATTCTGAGGCCTCTCTCCCATGTCTTCCCTCTCCATGTCTCTAGCCTAATGTCCTCTTCTTATAAGGACACCAGTCAGAGTAGGGACCACCCAATGACCACACTTGACCTTAATGACCTCTTTAAAGACCCTGTCTCCAAATACAGTCATATTCTAAGGTACTGGAGGTTATGAATTTGGGGAGCGGGTACAATTCAGCCCATAACAGAGGCCTATGATTTAGTAAAGAGCTATTATATGCAGGCACTTTCAATATATTACCATACCCTCAATGTCCTCCTGGTCCTCAAATTGCCATGCTCTCTGACCTCCAGGCCTTTGCCATGCTGTCCCCTCCATCTGGAACACAATCATCCCTTGCCATTAACGCTACCTCTTTCCCTGGGAAATCCCTACCCATCTTTCAGATCACTGTTCAGACATCACTTCCTTATCCACAGCCCCCAACTCTGGGTCAGAAGCCTCTCTCTGAGTCCCCAGGGAATTGTGGACTTTCCATATTGTGGTTCTTAACATGGTTTCACAATTCTGATAACATCAGAAAAACACTTGGCAGGGTGCCTAACATCTGGTAAGTGCTCAGATGATTTTAGCTGTTATGTGACTATTGTTCCTTGCTAGGGTGTAAGTGCCAAACGGAGAAGGACCCAAGAACCTCATTGATCTCATTCACCACTATATTCCAAGGGCCTGGAGTAATGCCTGGTATTGTTGAATGAACAAAAGAACAAGAGGATGAATGAAGGAATGCTCACAATCACCCTAGAGCAGTGACACTATCCCCACTTTACAGAAAAGAAAACTGGGATGTGGACCCAGGTCTGTTGGATCCCAGATCCCACCTGCCCTCAGCCATGTTCCTCTGAGACTTACCCGGCCAGCGATCTGGCGAGAAAAGGCGTCAACCAGGGCCTCGACCCCGTAGTCCACCAGCATGGAGGTGTTGAACAGGAACTGCTTATAGCTGTACTCCTGGGAGCCCACTCTGAAGGAGTCAGGCATGAGTGGGTGCCAGTGGTAGAGGTGGTTGAACTCCATGGCAATGCGGTTGCGATACTGGAAGTGGACGCCGAAGAGCAGCTCCGGGTCAAACTTCAGCTGCAGGAAGTAGCCGCTCAGCTGCTGCACGTACTCCTCAATCACGATCTTGATGGTCTCCCCTGGGAGGGAGGATTGGCAGGAGGGTCAGCACAGCACAGGGCTCGGGAAGCAGGCCAGTTCATGAAAAGTATTTGCTTTTTGCTTCTTTATTGTTGTTATTGTTTCATTTTATTTGGCCACTTTCACTTTGTTTGTAACGGGGTGTGAAAACGGAACTTTCTGTCTCAAGTCGGACTGACGTCCCGAGACAGGAGCCACCAGCTACCCCAACATTCCAAAGGAAGGCGGTAGGCAGATAAGCAGGTCATGCAAAGGAAGTATCCGGGAATTGGTTCTGTGACCCTTGGGTGACCCCCATCTCCTAGCCCACTAAAAGAGGTTGGAGAGGCCACAGAAGATGGAAAAGTGGAGACTGACAGCAGAGGCTCTCGGTGTGCTGACACCCTCAGTGTGTGAGGCGGGCTTCAAAGAAACCACTCTGAGAACTGTTGCAGCAGCAAAGGAGGGGCACTGAGGACAGAAAGTGAATCTAGTCCCAAATATATTTCTTATTTGTTCTCATACATCAGAATGCTTAACACTAGATTTTCGCTCTGTCCCTCAGTAACCAGCTACAAAGCAAAGAGCCAGGAAGAAACACACTGAACACGCCACTGAAAAATGAAAACTAGTCAACCAGATATTAAAATAAACTGATATTTTGGCCAACAACCATTAGACAAATTAGCTTTTAGCAAATTGATCTGGAGCCACTGGATTTGCAATCAGCAGACCTGAGTCTAAATCCTGGCTTCACCATTTCTGGTCCCCTAAGCTCAGGCTGTGTTACTTAATCTCTCTGAACCTCACTTTCCTTATCTGTAAAATTATACTATAATAATATTAGTATAATAGTATCCACAGGGTCGATGGGAGAAATAGATGATGAATGCATCTAAACCACTTGGCAGAATTTTGTTGTTAGTGTACAGCAAAGCGAAACCCTGCCCAATCTTTCTGCGCCATCCTCTCACCGTGCAGTGCTGAATCAGACAAAGCTCTGCTGCTATTCATAGGGTTTTCATGGCCAATTTTTTCAGAAGTGGGTGAGCTTCCTAGTCTGTCTTAGTCTGGAAGTTCCGCTGAAACCTGTCCACCATGGCTGACCCTGCTGGTATTTGAAATACCGGTGGCATAGCTTTCAGCAGCACAGCAACAAGCAGCCGCCACAGCATGACAACAAACAGATGGGTGGTGTGGTTCCTTGACCGAGAAATGAATGAACCTGGACCGCCACAGGGAGAGTGCCGACTCTTAACCACTAGACCACCTGGGCTGGCTCCTGGGATAATAGTGAGGGTGGATACATGTAGGGGAGAAGCAGGAGTATTAAGTGTAGGCATGAGGGAGAAACCCTTCCCCACACTCGCACATTACGAAAGGTCAGACTAAGGCTTACAACCTCTCCCCACTCAGGAAACAGCCCCCTCGTGATGTGGAGGAAGTAGCATGAACTTTGGTGGCAGCCAGACCTCATTCAAGTGTTCCTCAGCTGAGTGGCCTTGGAGATTTCATTTAACCTCTCTTAATCTCAATTTTCACAAGAGTTTTCATATCTGTTTCATGAGGTTGTTGGGGAGTGTGAAAGGAGGCACTGGATGCGCAGCACCCTGTGAGTTCTGCCTTGGTCACAGCTTCATCACCAGCCAGTGCTGGACAGCCTGCAGCCACAGACCTGCCCTCTCTGGCCAAGGTCTCTGCAGTGCTGGGACTTCAGAACTGGCTCCTTCTCCTTTAGACTGTTCCTGTCCCTCATGCATGGCTCTTCCAGACTCCAGGGAATCAGACACTATAATTGAGACCAGCCATGCCCAGTGATGCCCAGAGGCAAGGGGAGGGGGTTACTGGTGACTCAGAGTGAATACAGTCTGGACAGGGGTATCAGGGGCCAAGCTCCCAGGCAGGAAACCATCTGACATTTTAGGCTGCAGATTCGCCCCCGTAGGGGACACAAAAATATCCTAGCCCTGAGTCACCCAGAAGCTACCAAACTCCAGGAAGGCAGATACATGCAAGGTAGGAAACACGAGGATTCCCGAAGGCTGGGCAAGCCGGATTTGACCTGCACATGTGGAGGATATCACTGTGTGCATCTGGGTGCAGTACAATGGGGAAACTGAGACTTGGGGTGGCTAATCAAATTTTCTGTGAGTCACCCAACTAATCACCAACCATCACAGCCATCCATTTTCTGAGGGCCTACTATGCGCTAAGTGCTTTCTCATTCGCCATCTTAACAAATGCTTACAACCATCATTATCCTCCACGTCCGCATGTGGAAAGTGAGGCTCATATAGGGGAAGGGGCCTGCTCAAGTTCTCATAGCTAGTAAGCAGAAGAGCTAGGATTCTAATCCCAGCCCTCTGTCCCCAAGCACTCCACCCTCTGCTTCTCAGGATGGAGGGCATGAGCTTCCAGGACAGGGCTGGTTTGGAGTCCTCACCGATGAGGATGAGGCGGGCCGTCTGGAAGAGCTGCTCATCATCCCAGGTGGGGTGCTCAGTCTTCAGCAGGTCGCACACACGGTTGTGCTCGCGTAGCCAGAGCGTAGCATAGAGCATGAGCCCAGGAAGCAGCCCAAACACCTCCTGGCCCACGGCCATCTGGTTCTGGGGTGGAATACCCCGTGGGTAGTGCATCAACACAGGCGCCTGTTCCACCGTTGGCGGGTACATCTCTCCATTCAGCATCTGTGGGATGGGGCCACCTGGCAACCTGGGGATACCTGCCACAGCTGACACCCTCTTACTCCTACTTACAGCTGCCCATATCAGGCAGGGCAACTGCCCACCCTTCTTAACTATGGCCTGTTGATTCTACCTCCTAAATCTCTCTTAAAATGAGTCCCTTTCTCTATCCCCACTACCACCACCCATTTCCAACCCACCCTCATCTTCCACCCTGACTCCTCTTGTAAGCGGCTCCCTGCATCTACTCCTGCCCCCAGACAGTCCATTCTCGGCTCTGCAGCCAGAGCAATCCTTTAAGAAACCCAAATCTAGCATCACACTCTGGCTCAAAACCCTTCCAAGGGGCCGGCCCGGTGGTGCAGCGGTTAAGTGTGCACATTCTGCTTCGGCGGCCCGGGATTCACTGGTTCGGATCCTGGTTGCGGACATGGCACTGCTTGGCAGGCCATGCTGTGGTAGGCATCTCACATATAAAGTAGAGGAAGATGGGCACGGATGTTAGCTCAGGGCCAGTCTTCCCCAGCAAAAAGAGGAGGATTGGCAGATGTTAGCTCAGGGCTAATCTTCCTCAAAAAAAAAAAAAAAACCCTTCCAAGTACTCTCTCTCCTTTTGGCAGAAATCAGAAATCCTTAACATGGCCCCGCAGAGTCTCCACCCTCACCTGGGACATGCAGGTGTCCAGCAGCATCTCCCTTCTATCTTCCCTTCATGTCCCTCAGGCTGCTTCCCCTCTCCAAGCCCTGGCACATGCTAATCTAGAGAGCCCTTTCCCCTTCTTGGCCCCCCAATTCTTCCTCATCCTTCATGCAACTCTTGGTTTATTCATACTTCCTGATGAAGCCTTCCCACACTCTGAACACTCTCATGGCTTCTCCCTGGTGATAGTTGTTGTGAGCATAACTAATTGCATGGCAGTTTCTTCATCATTCAATAAATATACACCAAGGACATACTATACGCCAAGTACTGTGTTTAGCCCTAAAGAGTTAGCAGCGAACTTTTTGTTTTGGTTTTTGCTTGTTCAGATTTTCAGGGTCCGATATGGTAGCCAGTAATAATGTGCAGTACTGAGCCCTAGGGATGTGGCTAGTGTGAAGGAAGAACTGAATTTTTAATTTAATTTAATTTAGATGTAAATTTTAAAACTGATATTTCAGCTATTGGAAAATCTTTAAGTACACTTAGAACAACTTGGGCATGTAAATCTATTTTTTCAGCTAAATTTTATGAAATCTAAATATAGATCAGATATCTTCAATGAAAATTTGGCATCCAAATTGAGATGTGCTATACATTTAAAAGGTAGAACAGATTTTGAAGATTTAGCATGAAAAAAAGAATGTGAGATATTTTATTAATGATTTTTGTACTGATTACATGTTGAAATGATAATATTCTGGAAATATTGGGTTAAACAAAACATATTATTCAAATCAATTTTACCTGTTTCTTTTTACCTTTTTTTTTTTTTTTTTGAGGAAGATTAGCCCTGAGCTAACTACTGCCAATCCTCCTCTTTTTGCTGAGGAAAACTGGCCCTGAGCTAACATCCATGCCCATCTTCCTCTACTTTATACGTGGGATGCCTACCACAGCATGGCTTTTTGCCAAGCAGTGCCATGTCCGCACCCAGGATGCAAACTGGCGAACCCCAGGCCGCCAAGAAGCGGAACATGAAAACTTAACCGCTGCGCCACCAGGCTGGCCCCTCTTTTTACCTTTTTTAATGTGGTCACTAGAAAAATTTTAATTACATATGTGGTTTGCATTGTATTTCTCTTAGACAGTGCTAGCTCAGACATAAAGTCCTCATGGAACTAGCATTCTAGTGTTTATATCTGTGGCCTCCCAGGCTATGAGTTCCTTGAGGGCTGGGCCCCTAATTATGAGGGTCATGCTCAACCAACTGTGCCAGACACATCGTAGTGACCAAATAACATGGAGGAATAATTAAATGAGGAAATGCAAATTGGAAATGCCCATCTCCTGTCGAGTCCCAAAATCTGCCTCCCAGGAAGACATGAGAGGTCATGTCTGCTTCTCTTGCCCGGCACCTTCTCCCAGAGTTTATTGTCTCTCCTCCTTGCACGCACCTCCAGCTCCTGTAGCTGGCCCTCAGGAAACCACCCAGCCTCCCCCAACAGCCTCTGCCAGGGAAGACCGAGGAAGGCCCTTCGCAAAGCCCCATCCCCATGCCCAGTGCTACCTGGTACTTGAGTTTCCCATCCTTAAAGAGCCGCAGGTGATACTGACGTTCCAGATTGTCTCCATAAATGTGGCCGAGGTCTACCTGAGGACAGAGAGAGGGGCCACTCAAATCACCGGATCCTGCCCCACTGGGAACAACCTACATGTGCCAAGTTAGGTCCTGCCAAGTTAGATTAAAGACACCCTGAGCCTCTCCGAGTTACTCACCCCATGGCCCAAGGCCTTGGTGAAGCCAGGACCCATCTTGCCAGAAGTTTTGAAGAACTGGTGGGTGAAGTGTTGTGCAAAGAAGGCAAACATGAGGTTGGTGCCTTGGGGGTCAGGTATGAACTTCCTCCTGAGCAGGAAGCGATCGCTCAGGAGCTGGGCATCTGGCAGCTGCTTCTTCCCTGGTTGGGGAGGTGGGAAAGAGCAGTAGCTGCCTCCTGTCTGAATCTTCCTACCCAAGGGCCTTCTGGGCTCACCAGACCAAACTGGTCCACACAGGAAGCCCAGAACGGCCTCAGCAGGGCCACCTCCCTCCCATCAGATGGCCCCTTGTGCCTTCTTTACCAAAAGACCCTAGAAGTCCTTATGGGTGAAATGGCATGATATTTGGAATTTGCTTTAAAATACTCCATAAAAAAATAAGGTGAGAGGAGATAGATGACATACAATTGTAAAATTGTGGACAAGTCTTGAAACTGAGAGATGGATACATAGGAGATCATTATACTTTCCTCTCAACTTTTGTGTATGTTTGCTACTTTGAAAAAGCTAACCAAAAAGAAAGAAGAAAGAAAAAAAAATGAATTTGGACTCCCCAGCCCTGGAGCAAAGTAGCCTGTTTGAAACTGGCTATGCCATTTACTAACTGTGTGAACACAGAAAGTCACTTCATCTCTCTGAGCCTCAACTTCTTCATCTATAAAATAGGGCAAATGATATCTATTTCATGCAGTGGATTTAAGGAGTGAATGAGATAATGTAAGCATCACAGAGAACTGGTGAGGTGGAATCTTTTAAATCAAAGGTCAGCAAAATTTTCCTGTAAAAAGCTAGAGAGTCAATATTTTTGGCTTTGCCAACATATGATCTCTGTTGCTGTTATCGCAAGAAAGCAGCCATGGATGATAAGGAAGAATGTGACTGTGTTCCAATAAAACTTTATTTACAAAACAACAGGTGGGCTGAATTTGGCCTGTGGGCTGGAGTTTGCCAACCTATTTTAAATGATGCCAGTGTTTGTCTGCCTGGGTTAAAGACAAGAAGTCATCTTGAAGCATGTGTCCGTCATTATGAGAATAAGTATTAAGAGGCCTTTCCTCATTATGTCAATGTCAGATGAATGGTACCCAATGGTCTCACAGAAAGAAATAATTGAGGGGGCTGGCTCCGTGGCTGAGTGGTTAAGTTCGCGCGCTCTGCTGCGGCAGCCCAGGGTTCAGATCCTGGGCTCGGACATGGCACCACTCATCAGGCCACATTGAGGTGGCATCCCACATCCCACTACTAGAGGGACCTGCAACTAAGATATACAACTATGTACCGGGGGGTTTGGGGAGATAAAAGCAGGGGAAAAAAAAAAAGATTGGCAACAGTTGCTAGCTCAGGTGCCAATCTTTAAAAAAAGTAAAATAAAAAAAAAGAAAGACATAATTGAATTTTTGTGTTCTGGTGAAGGTATCCTTTCACACTAGCTCGTGTGAGGCCCAGTGTTGAAGGTTTAAGATGAATAGAATAGCATTATGGATTGAAATGGCTGACTGGTTTCCTCTAGCAGGAAGGGTCATCAAGTACCCCAAAGAGAACTCACCAAAAGGAAAGTTGGAGAGAGTGATCTGTACCCCATGACTTGGAATCATCACTCAGAGGCACACTGAGCAAGGACGGGTTCCACAAAGTGTTGGCAGAGTCCAGAAGCTCTATGAGACCCAGCTATCCTGACAGCATAGTTATGCTTTGGGAATAGTAGCTACACACGTGCATGCGAACTGTCAGTGTCCTTCAGGCCCAACTAAGGACATCAATACATATGCAAGGTTCTGAAGCTGTAAGAGCGCACAACCACAGGGCTGCACAGGACCAGTGTTCCGTGGCAGGAACAATGGTGGCAGTGGAGGACTGATGCCTCTCTTGTCCTCTCTGAACTTGAAGCTGAATGGATGGCTCTGGACTGAGCGAACCCCCGGATTTTTGGACAGTCAGGAATGCAGTGGGAAGAAAGCCTCAGGAGGAAGACCTTTGCCAATGAGACCAAGTGGGGTCTTAGGCAACTAAAGAAAAAAATCTGACTTTTTGTGTAATGCACATTGATGAAGCATGTAAAACTATTTACATTAGTAAAGAACCAAACACAGAATCAGCACCCAATAAATAGCACATTATCACCCCCCTACATTTCAACTTTTAAGCCACCCCATCCCAGCAGGATCCCACCCATTCAGTAGACAAGGTTAAGGCACAGAGGCATAGAGATATGGAGACACTAATTTGACTCTGCGACTGACTTTCTAGGTGACCTCAGGCAAGACCCTCCACCACCCTTTCCTGTCCTCATTCTCCAGCCCTGACTTCATCCCTGGTTCTGGAATGTCCATATGTCCTGCCTTGGTCCCTCTGTCTGTGAAATGGGTCAATAATTGCTTTTCTGCCTGCTTTTTCCCAAAGAGGAGAACTGAGCATCTCCTGTGATCCCCAGGCCCAGCCCCCTCACCCCATCTCCATTACCTTTGGTCCCCATGGGCGTGGGACAGTCTTGGGGCACAGAGGGCAGCACACGAGTGTAATAACTCACATTGGAGAAGGACTCCCAGCTGATGTAGTCATGTGCTACATTGTAGGTGGGGGGGCTGGGGATAAGGTTGGAACGCACTGCAAAGGGCGAAAATAACGGAGACAAGTGGATCCCCACCCACAGATACACCCCCTTCCCCACCTCCTCTTGGGTTAGACTTGTTTTATCTGGCATCATAGTCTCCCCACCCACTGCCCTTATCAGATACCAAGAATTGTAAGAGCTGGCAGCATTTCTTGATCCCCCAGATTAGGGGAGCCCTTTCCTCCACTCACCTGTGAGTACTAGGCGCATGAGCATGTCACGGATGAAGGTGGCGTTGACAAATTCCCAGAACCAGCGCCCATGTGTCAGCAGGAAGTGGAGGAAGGAGGGGCTGGGCCGCAATGAATTCCGGAGCCAGGTCCATAGCTCAGCTGTGGGGACAGTGGGGCCACTCAGTCAGTGCCTCTTGGCAGGACCAAAAGTAGCCAGAGTGGAAGATGGGGATCGGGACAAGGGCCAGGATGGAACAGGGTAGAACCCATGGGGTTGGGATGAGGGCAGAACCGTGGGGGTGATAACACATGACAGAGACAGAACCAGGTGAGGACAGGGACAGAATGAGGTCAGGTCGGGCAGTGACTCGCCGCAGAGCCCAGAAGCAGAGAGTGAGGTGTGCCAGGAGTGACCGCTTGTGCTGGAGCCAGGTCAGGGAGAGAGTCAGAGGTCAGAGCCAGGCAAGAAAAGAATAGGGCTATGACCAGAGACAAGGGCAGGAAGTGGGGGGGGGGGGGGTGTCTTGGAGGACAAGCCCAAGGGAGCAGGAGGGGCCCAGGACAGAAGGAGTGGGGCTGGAGGCCCAGCTCACGGATGGTGCAGTTGGGGCCGGAGTAGCCCGTGCGGGTGCAGTCACACTGGTAGTGGTCAAGGCCGAAGCGGACACAGATACCCTTGTGCTGGCATGGGTAGTAACAACAGGGGTTCACTGTGGGTGAGAAACAGAGATCACAGACCACCCTAGGCTGTCCACTCGTTGGGGGCAGAGGCATGAACTCAAGTCGCAGCTCTGACCTAACCCACTGGACTTCAGTGTTCCCCTAAGGGCCTCTCCGTTCCCACAACTGAGAACAGAAAGCACCCCCGTCCTTCTGTTTCCAGGCTTGCTCTGGAACTCCAGCCTTGCCCACATGGGGCCCCCAGAGGAAGTTCCCACTCCCTCCCTGATACCACCAAAGAGGGGCAAGGGAAGAGCACAGGCCCCAGGCTGTGACATTGAAGGCTAGGAAACAGCTGATAAGGCACTGCAGCCACAGGCTTCTTGAGCGTTCACTTCCTGCCAAGACAAAGCCCAGCACCAGGGGCAGGGTTTGTGGGGTTCAGGAAAGGGACCAGGATGGGGGATGCTCTCAGACCAGCCCCCAACCTCTGGGTACCTGGACACTAGGAAGATGAGATTGCCCATCCCTTCTGCTCTTCCTTGAGCAGGTATCCTAACAGACACTTGCAGATGGGGAAACTGAGGCCAGATAAGGGAAAACCCAGACGGGCCATCCAGCAAATCACACCAGACCAACTGTTCATCCCTTCACCTCCGCCCCATCCCTAAATAAGTCCAAGGAAAGAAGGTTCCCAGAACCCTGCAGAAAGAGTAGGGTTTGAGGGGACTCTCAGCTGTCTCAGCTCCCACTCCTAATTGGCCCAGCCTTGGCACGTGTTTCGGTGGAGTCTGGGCTCTAGGATCTTGAGAAAAGTCAGGGACCAAGGGAACAGGGGAGATGCAGCTGGAAAAATCTCCTGAGGGTGAATGGAACTCTGGCACCAGCTCCCAAGCCTCCTAGAGAAACCCCCATGAGGAAGTCCCTCCCTGTGTCTAACCCAGATCTCACTGCTTCAGTGACTTCAACAGCAAAGTCAGAGACTGCTTAGAGTTCACTCAGCACTCATTCACTGCTCAGCAAGGGCGACCAAGGTTCAGGGAGAGGTGGAGGCTTGGCCGAGGACGCAGAGCAGAGGAGGGCCTCCTGCAGACCAGGACTCCTGGCTCCTGGCAGGGGCTCTTTCCCCAGCCTTAGAAAGAAAGCACCAGGCTCCCCTCTGGGGACAGACTCCCTTATCTGGGCTTAGAGCCAACATTACAGTGAACTCCTATTATAGGAGGTCGAGAGGGTAGCAAGAAGCGTGGGAAGTCATCACAGGGTACTGTGATCAGAGGGCACGACCCTGGGCAAGGCCCGATCCCTCTTGTTTCATCTCCTCACTTCACAGCATTGGGCCTGGGCAGGAGGGTCCTCTGGGCCCCCACTTTGGAGGGGGCCCCCAGCACCACCACACCCACACTCACACATACACAGGGAGCAAGAAAGCAGAATCACAAAAGTCATGCAAATAGTTTTGCTTAAGCCTGGTGACTCCCAACAGCCCCACAATGGAGTCTTTGTGGCCCCTGAAGGGATGTAAGAAGGAGGGGCCAACGGGAAGAAGGCTAGACAAAAAGGCCTTATCGGACTGACACAGGCAGGCAGGACCCAGGCTGTGGCCCAGAAATGCCAAACAGCCTCAGGACCTTCCCCATCTTTCACCCAAACTGCTGCCGCTTCTCCCTAATAAATTCCCTCCAAATTCACGTGACCCTCTGGCCTGAGCCCATGCCTAGCGTCCACCAGAAAGCCTCCCCCAAATGTCCACACTCTAACTCCTCTCGCTCTCCCTCACCCCAGCTCTGTGTTCCAACTCAAACACAAGCCCCCAAGAGCAGGGGTGAAGCTTTCCCCCACTTTCTCCTCCCTAACACAGGCCATGCACACAGCTGGGGCTCAACCCAGGTCCTGGAGAAATCCAGCCGCCCAGGGGGCCAGATATAGTGGCCAGAGCGCAACAAATGTTAGTGGGATTAATAAACTGAAGTGAGGACACTGGCCACCCCAAGCTTGGCCAAAATGATCCCTCATCTTCCCAGCCCTTGGCAGCTGGCTCCAAGGGCTCAGTCTAGCCGGGAGGCTTCCTGCTGAAGCCTAGGGCTCTGCCCCAGCAGGCAGCAGAGAGCCCGCAACCCTCTCCTGCCAAGAAGCTGCATGCAGGGCGGAGCAAGGATCCTCCCTCCCAAACCAGCTGTCCAACTTTCCCTCCCTCTTCCTCCCAATCTTTCCATAAACACCAGCTGCCCCAGGGCAAGAAAAGTTCTCCCCAGCAAGGACAACAGCTGCGGCTGGGGCCCCAGGGTGTCAGGGTGGGCAGAGAAGGAACTGCATGCTGCTTCCCCAGGGGCAAGCCTGCCCATGGGTGGACTGTCTCTGTCGGCCAGGAAGCCAGGGCTCCAGCTGACCACTCCACAGCCTTGCATATCCACCACTCATTTATCTTCTCCGCACTCCTAGGAGCAGCGAGTGAAACTCCCCAGGGCACGGATGAGGAAGGTGAGGCTCAGAAGGCAGGAGACTCGCCCAAGCCCCACAGCTTCGAAGCTGCAGAGCCAAGACTTGAACCCCCTTTGCTTCCCCTCCTTTGCTCCTCCTGGAGGTGCCCAGGCGTGAAATTGGAGAAGGGATGGGGAGGGGAGTCACTTTGACCCATAGGCTGGGAATGACCCCAGGTGAGGTAGGTTTGTCACCCTTCTTTCGAGGTGGACCTGAAAATCTTGAACAAATGAAACCAGGACCGCAGAGGGATCACCATCCCATGTCACAACCAGAGTTCTGGGAACTATTCACAAAGGAAGGCCTTCCTTCCGTCTAACTGAAATACCACATGCTTTCCTGCCAGCCCAGTTCTGTGCTCAGTGGACACCCTGTATAAGACACCACCAAGAAAGAAAACCGGGGAGAAGCAGGCACTGAGTCTAACGCCTCTTGACTTCCCATGCCCAAGCACGAGGCCAGGCAGCAAATAGGTGCTGGGAAAAGATGTATCAGAGAGTGGCTGCTCTTTACTGGCTCTGTGTCCTCGAGCAAGTCCCTTGCACCCTCTGGGCCTCATTTTTTTGTGTGTATCCCAGGAAGAGGATGGAGCAGACGGGCTCTAAGGAGACCCTCTCTGCCTCCCCTTCCCCTCCCTCTGGATGGAGATCATCTATCCATTAGTTATATCAATATGATTCCCCAGCACTAGCAACAGAAAACCTCGCAACTTGCTTTCACTCAGCCTTCAAGCCACCTCAGAGGTGGGGTGGATCGGCATGCCCATACTGCACACATTCCCACAGACGACTGTCCAGGACTGCCTGGCTCCACAATTTTCTGAGTATTCAGGCAAGGAATGTCCCCAAGCCCAGAAGTCAGGGCTCCAGGCGCAGTGGGCGAACATCAAATCCTCTAGGATGCACAGGCGCCAGGCAGCAAGAGGGCTCGTTAAAGAGGTTGGACTGAAGTCTCATAAGAATAATATTTAGACAAGCTTCAGGGCCTTGGCAGTCAAAGAGAGAAAAAGGAACCTTAGTAGCAGACCTGGGCCCCAGCCCCTACAGCAAGCCAGGGCAGCAGCCAGATGCCAGGCACCACCAGACCAGGTCCTGACAGCTGGGCCCAAAGCTGGAAGAGCTCAGCTGGAGAGGAAGCTCCCTCTCGGCCCACAGACCCAGCTAGTGCTGCAGATAGGAGGTAGCAGGAGGCGAGTGGCAGGGAGGCCTTGGCCCAGGCTGGGTTCCCATCCCATGTGCCAGGGTTCGTTGGCCTTGGGCCCTCCACCTCATATGGAGCTCTGACTGCCAGATCATGCCCCTATCCCTAGCCAAGGAGAGAGCATGAAGCCAAGTCCAGGAGCTGGAGGGGATGAACTTGAGCATTAAGGAGCCCTTGGTACAGCCTTGCCCTCCAAGCTAGACTTAACCTCTTCTCCGACACAAGACGCAGAAGCTACATTCTCCCCAGCCACCTGCCCTCAGATAAGTCTGCAGCCATCATCTCCTAGAAGATTGGCCTTTGCTGCCCCTCTGAGGTCAAAACACAAGCTTTGGCTTCCCAGGGCAGATGCTCAGGTATCTTGGACCTCAGTTCACTCACAGACTTGGAAGTACAGCCCCTGCACCCAACTTGTCATCCTTTCTTCCCTTGACCCTTACAGCAGCCTCCCTAACGGTTTCTCATCTCCAGTCTCACCCCCAAGTCATCCCTCCAACCCACTCTCCTGCTCCCAATTACCCTCAGGCCCAGGTCCAGGCTCATCATTCTGCATTCAAAGGCCCTTGCTAACCAGCACCTGCCCCTCGGCCGACTGCTCCCAAGGCTCCCGTATGCCGCCTGCGGTTCAGACTAGGCTTCAGCTTCTACCAGAAAGACCCTTACAGAGTTTCACAGTAAAGTCTCACAGTATTTCCCCTCACTCACCACCTCCTCAGGGTCCACATCAAATATCACCACCTCCAAGAAGCCTCCTCAGTTCCTCACACTTGACAGGTAACTGCTTCCCCCAAGCCCCGCACACCCCTGTACTGCCCTCAGTCCAGCCCTGACCCCCTCGGATGACGGTCTGTTAGCATTCTGTCTACCCCATCAGACTGTGAGCTCCTCTCAGCTCTGTGTCTCCAGGCTCCAGCCAAAAACTAGCATAAAGCAGCCCTTGGGAACGTTTGTGCCGTGAGAGAAACAATTCCATTGAAACACTTAATGATATAAAGATAAGTAGAAAAGGCAAAAAAACAAAATGGCACAGACCATGCCTCACTGGGCATTAGTGAACAGACACAGGAAGACAGATGGGTGAGGCCTGGGTACCCCAGGGGGCTGGAGGGGGCCAACTGGGGCCTCAGAGGGACTGCTGGACTGAGCCAAGGGCTGGTGCGGCTGGTCACCGGGGCAGCCCGGGCAGCCCCAACTCTGCTATTGGGGTCTCAGACAAATGAGCTCACCCCTCTGGGCCTCAGAGGTCTGTAGAATGGGTCCATCACATCTCCCTGGCAGGGCTGTTGTGAGCACCAATAAAGTGGATGCCCACAGCCGGGCTTTGCAAACTGTAAAGTGCTGGCCACATGAGTCTTCCTCCTTTTCTTCTCACAAACTAGGCCTCTGCTCACACCCAAACTCCTGCCTGGAGCACCCTCCCTCCTCTCCCTGGCTTCCCCAAATGCCACCCACTCAAACTCTCTTCTCCAGGCAGCCTGGTCCAATTCACAGTCCACATAGATACCTTTCCTCTCTCCTCCTTGAATCAAGCCCTAGAGCATCAGGGAAGCTCAGCCCCCTCCCTTCCTCTCTTGCCCCCATTTTACACAAGAGAAATGGAGACCCAGAGAGGGATGGATCCCACAGCTAGGTGGTGGAGGAAGCTATGTCCAGGCCTTGAGCACGTGCACATGCGCGCGCACGCGCACACACACACACTCACAGAGAAGCAGTAAGCTGGGGGAGGGAGGTTGGTTGAGGGAGGAGCTGAATTCCTTCACCTGGAACCTGGTACATGCATGGTGGGGGGGGGGGGGGGGTGGAATTTTACAGGATCTGACTTTCTCCATCACCTTTGGGGTGATGAAACCAGGGTCCATTGGGGGGTTGGGGAGGGGGACAAGGGCACTCTCTGTGGAAAGACTTTGCAAAGTGCCTAAAGTCTGATAGATCCAAGTTCAAAACCTGAGCCCACCATGTATTGCGTGAGCTTGAGGGAGTTATGGCATCTATCTGAGCCTCAGTTTCCGCATCTGCCCCATGGGGACCTCATCGGTAAGGATTTAAACCCCAGAGGAAGCAACCTGGCTCTGTAAATATATTTCCACTCCCAGTCTTCCCAGGCTAGTGCACAGGGGGTCCTCACCGCAGATCTTCTCTGCTGGGACTAGGAATCCGGATGGGTCCCCAGCAAGTTAGAGGCTGGAGAAAGGGAACTCATTCGCCAGCCGATTTTGCCTTCGGTAGGGGCCCCCACAGGAAGCAGGGGTGTTGGGAATGAAGGGGGCTTGGACAGCTGGGGGCCCAGATCAGGTGAGGAGGTTAGAGAGGGGCTGTCCTTTCTCCCAAAGGCTGCACAACATGTCAGTCTGCCCTTTCCCCAAAAAAGAACCCTATAGCAACCTCGCCGAGGCCACACACCCCACCCCCGCCCCCGCCCCGCCCCGAGAACCATCAGAAAGCCCCTGTCCCATCAGCAGACTCAACCCCCTCCCCCTTCCCAGGCACTGTATGCAGAAAGGGGAAGCAGGGCTGCTGGAGAGGAGAGGAGGGAGAGGGGCCAGTCAGGGGCTGCAGGACCAGGGGCTTCCCTGGGACAGGGACGGGGCCGCCTACCTAGCGCCGGCGCCCTGGGGTCCGCGGGCAGGACTAGGGACGGCAGCAGCAGCAGGAACAGCGGGAACCGGAGCCAGAGACTCTGCCCTGCAGAGGGAGAGCGATTAAGGGGTAAGCCTGGCATTCAAGGCTCCACTGGGAGGCAAAGAGCATTCCTGGGGGCACTGGGGTCGGACTCACGGCTCATGGTGCGGGGACGGCTGATGGGTGCGGAATACGGACAGCCGGCTCCTTGAGCGCGTCTCTAACTCTACCCGCAGCTCTGGCCCGCCTGGCCCACCCCCTCCCCACCCATTCCCTGGCTCCACCTCTCCAGCCAGCTGTCACCTCGGCCGCCGCCCACTTACTTCCTCTGCTCCGGCCCCAGCCAAGGCATTTTATTAATTATTCGACGATTGCCTCTAAGACAGTTTTTCACCCGAGATCCTGACGCACTGAGCTTTTAAAGCCCAGTGGCACCGGAACTGTGTCCGTTTGGTGGATAGGAAACTGAAGCCTAGAAAGGATGTGCAATGCTGAAGTTACTCAGGGCTTGGGAGTAGAACTGAGAGTAGCATCTCAGGTTAGAAGGGATGGTCTGAACCACACATCCTGTCCCCCCAGAGAGAAAGGGGGCTCAAAAAGGAGGCTTCCAGGCTGGCTTGCATATCCTTTCCTGAATGGGAAACCCACCACCCTCAGACAGATCCAACAGGGAAGACTAGTTTCCCCCTGGGGGCTGGGCTCTGCCCCCCCGAGGCCACACATCTCTGCAGGAGCCTCTACTGCCAGAAAAGAAGAGCACAGGCTCCAAGTCCAGGAGACCTGAATTCAAATCCAGACTCTACAGCTTACTAGCTGTGTCACTGTGCACCGGGTACTTGCCCTCTCTGGTCCTCAGTATTTTCATCTATAAAATGGACGTAATAATAAGAACCACCCCAGAGGATTGATGTAAGATTCAATGAGATAATGCACACAAATCTCCTGATGCAGCGCCTAGCACATAGTAGGCGCTCAGGTATGAGGAGGCATTTTTTTTTAAAGATCTCCTAACTCAGATTCCAGGGCTGGCCAGGATCGATGCTCTAGCTGGACTCACATCCACCTGCTGACTTTACAGAATCCCAGCATCCAGCTGCTTTTTTGATAGCTGGAGAAACTTATCTCAGAAGGGGGATGGGTCCTAGGACACTCACACAGAGTCTTCTGGTCCCCACACCCTCAGGTTTTCTCCCTCAGTTTCCCCAGCACACCCAACCATCCAGTGGGCCCCAGAGTGGGGAAGGCAGGGCAGGAGGGCTCAGAGGTCCTTGTGCCAGCTCCCAGGTATCCTTGGGTGTGGAGTGGGAACCATGCCAGGTGGGAAAGGTGAGGCCTGCTGGGAGCCCCTCCTACATCCCCACCTGAGCTGTTCCCATGCTCCACTAGGACAAAAGCCAGCTGCCCCATGGAGTCAGAGCAAGCCAGGGCAGACCTGGGGAGGGCGTGGGGCAGACAGAGGGCCTGGGGCCCTGGGGTGCTAGGACAAGCTTCCGCCTTCCCCCCCCGCAGCCCCAGATCCAGGGCCTCCTAGTAAATCCCCAGACAGGGCGAGAAGACATAGTCATGGATTATCAGCAAAAGAGATGGGATCAGGGTGGAGATTTGAACATCCAGTTACCCAAAGAAAAGGGGACTTTCTGGTGATGAACAAAGGAGAAAAGGGCTTGGATGGGGCCCCATCTTCCATTCCCGGGTTCTCCCTGCCTTTGGGCCCCAAAGTTAGCATACCTGTCCCTCCTGCTGACTCCTTCTCCCAAGCCACCCACCTGTACTCAAAGGAGCAAGCACTTGTGTGGCCCTGGCAATGGGAGAAAGAGCCTTAGGCTAGGAGTCATGAGAACTGAGTTCAAGTCTCAGTTCTTCCATAGGTGACCTGAGACAAGTCTCTGCACCTCTCCAGGCCTCTGGCTCCCCATTTGAACAATACAGAGGTCAAACCAGATGGTCTCCGAGAACAGGTCCAGCGTGGGGTGATTGAGCCCTCTCTGTGGCCAGGCTCTGTGACTGGTGCTGGAGATCCCGAGATGGATGCCATGAAGGAGAGGCCAGAGGCAAGACGGCAGACAGGTGCTAGTGCCATCCTCCAGGGTTAGGACCGCATCAGGAGGGTGGAGTAGAGGAGAGGAAGACAAGAGAAATGGTGGTTGACAAAGTGCCAGGGCTTGGGGGCTAATGGGCCCTGGAGCTTTAGGGAAAGAGAGGTGCTGAGGAGGACACCTAGGTTTCTGGCTTGATGCTGCTGATAATACCCAGGGAAGGAACCAGGGATGGGGAGCAGGCTGGGGTAGATGGCACTCGAATCTGGACTCATTGTGTTTGGTTCATCTCGGCGGTAGGGTCCAGCCTGCAGCTGGATACACAGAGGAGAGGTCCGGGCTAGCCCTCACCCCAGCCCTGGGAAAGGGCCCCAGCACACCTTTCCCTGCCCCTCTACTCCAAGCCTGCAGCCTCAACATCAAGGGGTTTTCCTAATCCTCAGGATGGTAACCTGCCACTCGTTGGGCAATGCCCAGCCCCAGTGTCCCCTGGGAAGCCTCCTCTGAAACACCTCCTGGTCTTTCTGTCCTCTGAGGAAACTCCTGCGCCATCCCTGGTCACCACAGGCAGCACAGTGGATTGTGTTGTCCCTCTTTCTCTCTTATTAGGTTTTGAGCATCTTGATCACTCTTGTATTCCTAGGGCCAAGTGCAAGATCTGACATATAGATGTCCGGCAAATGCTGGTTGATTGAAGAAATGAATGTCTGTATGAGTGATTGAATGAATGAAAAATATAGACCTTCTATTAGTGAGTGAGGGTCCAGGGCCAGCCTCATTAAGGTGAATGCCACACCATCCAGCTGATGTGACAACCATCAGAAGTGTATCAGTGCCCTGCCTCAGTTTCCCTGTCTCCCCTAGCTGGGCCCATCGGCCAGCACCCCCAACACTCTCACAGGTCCAGCTCCACCCTAGGGCCTGAGCCCCTCCCAGCCAAGGCAGCAAGGACCTTCTTCCCTATACTCGATGGCTGACATGGGGTGGGTTTTCTCTCTCTGCATACTCCCACCCCTGGCTCCACACCAATCACATGCCCTCCTGGCAATCCTACCAGAGGCCCTAGTTAGGGCCTGGAATTTAATGCCCCTCAAAAGGTCTCAGCCTTGCTGGGTCTCACCCACTATTTGGAAATCCAGAGCTGACTCTCACCTGAATCACTCAGGGACCCAGCCCCACCCAGTCCCACCTCTGGAGGCAGCTTCACAGCCAGGCAGGAAAGCTCTGAAGTTAACCCAACATCTCTTCAAATCCCAGCCCCCGCCACTCCTGACCAGCTCTTGGTGTGACCTTAGGCAGCCAACTGCCCCTCTTGGGCCTCAGTTTCCCCATCTGTAAAATGAGGTTCACAATTCCATTCTTGTAAGAGTTATTGGGAGGACAAAATAAGGTCTATACAAGCATGCCCAGCCTCCAGTAGGAGCTCAGTGTTAATTCTCCACCTGCTCTCCCTTCCGTTCACTACCCAAGCAGAACGGTTTCATACAAAGTTCTCTTCCTCTTCCTCTTTCCCTACTCAGTACCAGGCTAGAGTTAGGCATTGGTGGTAATAACAATAATTGCTAAAATTTCAAGTATCTACTATGTGCCAGGCAAAGTGCTGTGCATTTTATATGCACTATCACATGTAATTTTCTCAACAGCCCTATAAAGTATTGCCACCTCCATTTTACAGAGAAAGAAACCAAGGTCTGCAGAGCTGAAGTGACTTACCTAAGGTTGCACAACTAAGATGGACAAGATTTCAAGGTCCAATCCCTTTGTTCTGATATGCCACGTACAGAGCCCCAGAATAGCCAGCCAGTGTTTGGAGTTAGTTAAGAGGAAACAGAAACGAACTGTGGTCAGCTAGGGGTGGGGTGGGGGGCCAATGTAAGCCACATAGTTCAGCTGACAAGCTAAGAACTGAGACTCACAAAATGTTTTTACATCTCTTTCTCATCGAAATCCTCACAACGGTTCCAAGAGGAAGGAAGGTATCATTATCTCTATTATGCAAAACAGGAAACTGAGGCTCAAAGATTTCCCTAGACCGTGCAGTGAGGAGGAAGAGGAGAAGGAGTTATGACCACCGCTGGAACACTGGCTATGTGGCAGACATTATACTAAGGGGTTTTGGTGCATCATCTCTTTTATTACTCATAACAGTTTCATGAGATAGATTCTCTTCTTGTCCCCATTTTTGTAAACAGGAAAACTGACCTGGTAAAGGCCATGGGCTAGTAGGTGGTAGAGCTGGAATCTGAGCCCTGGTCTGTTTCATGTCAACATCTACAAGCTTAACTTCTTGCTACACTCCATCCCTGGCTCTCTTGGATCCCAAACCCTGAATCTTGAAAACAAACACCCAAATTCTGCCAGAGGCAGGTCAAGAAGGCAGATAAACAAGCAGGACATTGGCAAGAAGAGAGTCCCCAGGCTCATCTGGAGAGTTTCCTCTGCAGGGTCTCCTGACCTACAGACCTCACCACTAGGCAGTTGACACCATCTGATTGGCACAGAATGGCCTAGTGGTCATGCCACTGGCATCCTCCCCCGCCTACCCCCACCAGCAGCGTAATCTGCAGAGCATGAGACATGGGCTTCTGGGATCTGGGGGCCCAGCTGCCTCTGACAGAGGAGGCGAAGCCAGGGAAAGAACCACTGTCTTGCTAAGGGACAATAGTTGCTCTAGAGGTTGCTGGGGCTGTAAAATGTCAGTCCCCGCGTCCCCCTCCTCCTCTACCACAGTTGAAGGAGGAGGAACTGTTTCCATGACCCTCCTCTGGTATGTGAAATACCCTCCTAACTCTGCTCGGAACCTTCAGTAGCTCCCACTGCCCCCTGACCTGAGCCTGACCTTCAAATCTCCTCATCCACTGAGCAGCAGGATGTCATAGAAAGAGCCCTGGAATGCCGGCCCAGAAGATCTTTTAGTAACACAACCCTTTGAACTCACTGTGTGACCTTGAACAAGTCACTCTCCCTCTTGGACCTCAGTTTCCCTACTTGTTAAATAAGTCTGTTGAATTAGGTGTGCCGGCAGTA